TCATCACTAATAATAATAATATATATATTAAATATCAACACTCACACACAGACATAGAGAAACACACATAAACAATCGCACATTGCGAATCGCATTGCCACATATATTTATAACCGCATTACCCGCAGCCATTTCTAATTAAAAGGCATCCGCTGTTGCGTCACAACATCACGTGACTAACTTTCTTTTGTTTCGGCGCGAAACACCGTGACGTCATTGTCGCTGTAATCTGATGATGAAGATGCTGTTGTCGTTGTCGTTATCGTAATCATCATCGTGTCATCATCATTGTCATCATCTCCAGCATTTAGCACAATCATTCCTTCGTAAATCATAACTTTCATCATTGCTTTTGATTTGTTTCAATAATCATCGTCTGAGTTCTAGCTTATAGATGTCACCATCATGTTTCATCATCATCATATTTGAAATCATGTTTCATCATCATCATCACATTTGCAATCATGGTAATCGTTATTATTGATACTCTCATCAAATCTTTGTTATCATTTGATTAAGTAATAGCTATAACACTTTTTTATTATGTGATAATATGATGACCAATATGGTGTGATGATGTAAGGAGCGTTATATATGTGCTAACCCAAAGGCCATCATAATTTTATGACCATTATGAAGCGATGATGTTTTGGACATTATAATGTAATGATGTGATAATATAATTGATATTATCATTATTATTATTATTATTATTATTATTATTATTATTATTATTATTATTATTAGATGATTTATATGCGCCCATTAAAAGGTTCTCACAGATTCTCGTAATGAACACCACAATGTGATAATACAATGACAATTCTAATGTGATGATATAATACTGTAATCACCATTGTGATGTGATGATGTTATGACCATTATAGTGAGATAAAATAATGACCACCATATGTATACAAAACATGCCTGCAAGTAATTTCATATCTATTCTCAGATGACAATGGAATTTAAACGGGCAAACATTTTCATCCTTTGTTTTGCTCCTTTTAGTATTGTTAATGTCATTAGCTCTGTTATTGTTGTTGAGGTGGTTGAGGTTTTTGTTGTTGTTGAGGTTTTTGTTGTTGTTTTGTTGTTGATGTTTTGGACGTTATTTAGAAATGACAAAAAATCAAATTTTTCATTTATTTATGGCCATTTCAAAATCTACCCACATGTGTTGTAACTTAGAAAACTTAAAGAAAGAACCAAAAGCATTTAAAAGCAAATGCAAAAAGAGTTTGTTTACTACGCAGACATTATACAAAAATAAAACACTTTAAAAATAGATATAGATCTTTTTTTAATAAACACGTCAACCGCTGAAACCACATCAAGCCAGTAACCAATACAACCACCTAACACTAAACTAAACCAACCACAACAATCACGAACCAAACCTTCCACAACAACCAAACAATCACAGCCAAACCCCCTCAACAACCACAATTACTACAAACAGCAACAACTACACAAAACAAACATGAATACATCAAACACCATTAAAAATTCACCACAAACTTCAACCCCACCCTTCTCAACAGTGACTAGTAGTGGGACAGACTGCCACCCAATGCCCTCATCCTACCACTTCATATACACCACTCACAACTCACCACTTCGAGACCATCACAGCCACCAGCAACAGCAGCTGCAGCAGCAACAACAAAGTCACGTGACTAGCAGCTGTTACTGCAGAAGTCCATTGTCCTACTTGCAGCAGTGCAGCCACTCCACGCAGATGCATTTTCGGTTGAGGAGGTGCAAGAACTGCCCGGAAACAAGAGAAAGAGGCTAGTTGTGATGATGATGATGAATAAATATGATGATGATGGTGACGACGACGATAACGATGGTGATAACGATGGCGATAATGATGATGAGGATGATGATAACGATGATGATGATAACATAACGACAATGATAACGATGATGATAACGATGACGATGATGATGACGACGATGACGGTGATGATGATGATGATGATGATGATGATGATGATGATGTTGCTGATTGATGTTGTTGTTAATGATAATGTTGTTGTTCATTTTGTTGTGTTGTTGCCTTTATTATGTTGACAATAGTTCTATAGTTGATGAGGACCATGTTGCTGCTAATGGTGATTCTGTGGTGATGCTGTTTATTTGTGTTGTTGTTGTTGTGGTGACGTTGTTTCTGATGTTGTTGTTGTTGCTGCTGTTGTTGTTGATGTTGGTGTTGACGTTGATGTTTTTTCATTGCGCTTTCAGTAATATAATGGATAATATTTTGATATATATTTTTATTTTTAATATTATTAGTATGCACGCCACTGAAACATTATTATTATTAATATTTGTAATAGTAGTAGTAGTATTAGTAGCAGCAGCAGTAGTAGTAGTAGAAGTAGTAGTAGTAGTATTAGTAGAGTAGTGGCAGCAGCAGTAGTAGTAGTTGTTGTTGTGGTTGTTGTAATAGTAGTGTTAGTAATGTTATTGCTATGTTTTTTGCGGAACTTCATGTTCCTTATGATTAAAGTGACATAAGGATAACAGTGATGTAAGCTAGGATGAAAAGAGGAATCATCATCAAGAAGGGAATGATGATGACGACGATGATGATAACGATTATGATGAAATGATGATGACCATGATGATTATGTCAACGTCAATGCTGTTTACGATGGTTTTGATGACGATGATGATGACGATGATGATGATGATGATAATGATGATGATAGAAACAATGATGATGATGATGTTGAGATAGTGATGATGTTGACACGGTCACTATGTTGAGACAACAATTACGATGACGACGATGACGATGATGACGATGATGATGATGATGACGTCGGGTGGCATGTTCTTTCATTGAGTTGTAACTCTGACAACATCAGCATCGTTGTCAATGCTGTGACAGTTACAATGCAAGAGAAAATGATGGCGAGGACGATGACGAGAATAATGATGATGATAAACTTGATGATGGTGATAGCTATGATCTTGATAATGACTGCGAAGACGATATGTACAATAAAGATTAGTTATTTGCATATTTTCATTAAACTAATCCCAACTCCTACTTCCATGGATTGTTTTTTCATTTGTTGAAAAGTTAACTTAACCAGACTATGGAACGTCTGGTACCAGCACTCAAAATTCTCCAATTGAAACAAAAGATGAAAAAATAATTTAAGACGTGATGATCTTGTAAACTGAGGTCATACAATATTTTTCAGAACAAATTCCTCCTTTTGGTTGTCTCACTCTTTCTCTCTCTCTCTCTCTCTCTCTTTCTCTCTCTCTTTCTCTCTCTTTCTTTCTCTCTTTCTTTCTCTTTTTCTTTCTCTCGTTCTTTTTCTGTGTAAAAAAAATGTGCATATAAAAACTGTTTCTAAATACGCATATTTTATTTTGGTAGTTCATTGCGCACAGGCAGTTGAACGTATCTGCATGATGTTCCATCCATCATTCATTACTCCATCTTTGCTGATCTCTTTCTCCTCACACCGTCTCTTGACTCATCAGGTGTTATTTATTTATTTAAGACAGAGGTGGCCTGAGACAAATGCCCTGATACTAATGTACATCAAAAAATGCAAGGATTCGTGCGATATTCAGTTAATCCTGCCTCGCGAATAAATTCTCTTTCCATGTAGACTGTGAGGATGGACTGTGAAGTATGCGAGGGCTTTACATTGTTTTTAAATTGTACAAGAAATACAAAGAACACCTCTATATATCATATAAATGACTCAGCTGTGTGTATGATTGCGTATAGTTTGATCTCGCCTGAGAATTTCCAACACACCAACCCAGCATTCGAGGTTTACAAAAACTCCAACAGTTCCATTGGCAAATATTTCAGACACACAAAATTAGAAAAAAACAACAACAACAAAACTTACAAACAAACAAACAAATAACAACAAACAAATAAAACGACATTAACAAACAAAACGATAAAAATAAATAAAATAAAAATATCGTTGTTGACACGTTATAACTTGCGACACAATCGACCGACCCCCATATCACCATATCTTAACTCATTTACGATAGTAAAGAGATAGTATAACGGGTAAGACGCTTGGTCTTGTTGGGCACTGACTGTCTTCGAATGCAGATTGAAACCCGCTAATCGTATGCAATGTCGGTAATTTTGCCGTATTTTCGTGTTTGTAACGTTAAATTTGTTTAATATTATAATATATTAAATTTTAATGTGTTTGTTTGTGTCTGTGTGTGCGTGTGTGTCTGTGTGTGTGTGTGTGTATGTGTATTGCGTGGGTTCTGCATGACTGAGTTTCTAATACGGACAGTTTGCTTGTTTGACTTGGCTCAAGGCTGTTCAAAATAATAGTAGTAGTAGTAGTCATAATAATAACAATAATAATAACAATAATAATAACAAAAATATGGCGTGATGGTGTAACGGTAAAGTGCCTGGCGCTACTTCTGCAGTGACGGGATTCTATTGCAAAGCGATCCCCACTAATCACATGTGATGCGTTGTTCCACGTGTATTTACATGCACTGTGTGTCTGTTGGTGCTCATCGTTATCGTCATCATCGCCATCATTGTTACATTTATTGTCATCATTATCGTCATCGTCACTGTTTTAATATCATCGTTGTCGTCATGATCAACATCAATTTTATCGGTAGTAACATCATCGTCAACATTATTATCAACATCATCATCAGCATCATCGTCATATAATAAATAATAATAAAAGCGAGATTTATAATTATTATATAGATATTATTATTATCACTGTTACTAACTTCATCGTCGTTTTCATCATCAATCAATCAATCAATCAATCAATCAATCAATCAATCAATCAATCAATCAATCAATTAGCTTATAAAGCGCTATTTCCGCGATGTTCAACAGCGCTCCTCAATGAATTTTGAAAACAGATGGGTCTTGAGATCCGCTCTGAACTTCGCAAGTGATGGAGAAATAGTTAGAGAAGTAGGTAGAGAGTTCCAGAGAAAAGGACCAGAAAAAGCAAAAGCAGATTTGGCAAAAGAGTGTTTAACACGAGTTAAGAAAAAGCGAGAAGAAGAAGACGATCGTAAACCGGGGCGTTTAGGTTCAATTAATATATCTGATAAGTACTTAGGAAATAATTTAGATTGAGACTTATACATGAACGTGCAAATTTAAAAATA